TCCAAAGAGAGAGAGAGAGAGAGAGAGAGAGAGAGAGAGAGAGAGAGAGAGAGAACGTTTGTATATGTTACAACCAATCCCTGGGCTCACTTCCTCCCTTTTCCACTGTGGTGGTGGATTACAGAGGTGACATGCTGTTGAGATGGCTGATTCTTCCCTTAGTTTTGCTGAAGGGCTTTCCCTCCACCCACTCTTCTTTCTTTTCTAATTTTCATTTTAATGGATAGCTTTCTGGGTAGGAGAGGGAAAAGAACGTATTTGGGAATGAATGTGGCTTTAAAATAAAAATTTTCCAACAAAATAACAATTAATAAAAGTAAAAAAAATCATAAAGCTCAAAAGCAATGAGTGACCTGTTCTAATCCTCCCAAATCTAAGGTAGCCCCCCCCCAACTCTTTGATTTGCCATAACCACTAAGCCCAGAGGCCCTCTCACAGCCCCCAGCCAACAATGGATTAGATGCTCCAGCAAGCCTGCTGTTGGCCACTTTGTGGCCTAGCTAGCTTAGCTCATTGGGTCGCCTATATAACAAACACCACTCCCCCAGTCAAAATGGTGAGGACCATTGACACTAAGCTGGCCCTGTCGCTTCACAGACGGCCCCTTGTGAGCATTCTTCTATCACTTCCATAGCACGTATCTTCTCCTCCCGGGGAGATTCTGTCAGAGAGACACAAGACCCAGATTAATGAAGACTATCCCTGACCCAGAAGTTCACAAAGAAATCCCATTTCTTCTTAGCAATTCAGTAATATCAACCTTTGCCTCAAGTGAATTCTATTCTTGACAGATGGAAGCTCAGAGATGGTTTATTGCATCACCCTGGCCCACGGTCCCTTCAGCCCAGGATGACCAGTGTCTAGCTCCTGTAACATGCCTGGCCTTGGCACACAGGAGGTAGGGGAGAAGGGAATTCCCTCTGGCACAAGGGGTATATAGCAGGGGATCTAGCCTTCTTTGTCTCCAGCTGCAGTCTGAGGAAGCTATCAAGACTTCATTGCATAAATTAATTAAGTAAATCAATTATATTGAAATAATGATGAAAATACTCTTTCAAAAAACAATTCTGGAGAAATGTTATTTTGAAAAACAGTTCCATGGATCCTCAGACATCCTATGGGTTAGAATACAAATTCCTTAGCCTGGCAATTAAAGCTCTTCAGAATTTGGTTCCCACCCACCTTACCTGCCTTATTTCATAATACTCTCTCTTCCAAACTCTCCTTTCTAATACAAGTGGTTTTTTATTTGTCTCTTGATCTCTACTTGCCTTCCCCAGTCTCTGTGAAGTGCTGCTCTCTTTCCCCCATGCCTGGATGAATTCCTTCCTCACCGCTTCCTGTCAAAGCCCTTCCCTTCTTTGAAGGTTCAGTTGCTACCTTCCTCCCTAAAGCTTTCCCCGATCCTTCCATGTATAGGTATTCTTGTCCTCCTCCTTTCTCTTCCTCCTGCTTCTCTTCCTCCTCCTCCTCCTTTTCCTTCTCCTCCTCTTCTTCCTCAATTTTCTTAGAGCACTTTAGGCCTCTTTTTCTCTTGTGGTCCCCTCACTTCCTATCTTGTAAAATACTTCACTTTAATTCTATTTCATCCTCTTTACTAGAGTGAAAGTTCCTTGAGGGCAAGAACTGTGCCATTTTTCATCTCTACATTTCCAGGGACTAAAATAGCACATGGCAGATAGTAGACAATTAATAATTGTTTTTAATTGAATTGAACTAGGGCTTGGTCAGTGGCAAGTAAAGTCAATCAGTAAGTCAGTCAACAAACATTTATCAAGCTTCTGTTACGTGCCGCTGGACATAGGCACTGGTGATTTAAAGACAAACAAAAAGGAATTAGTCTCTGCTTTTCAGTCTAGGGAAGCAGCGTATACAGACATAAATATGGGCTTGGGGGGAGAGGGGAAGGGGGGTTGGGCTTGTGATTTTATTGGTCCAGGGAACTCCCAGTGAGGAAAATCCTTTCACCAATGTAGATCGGTGCCTATTTTGCAATTACAAGTCTTAGAATGTTGCCAGAAGGACTAAAGGTTGAATGGCTTTTCTTAGAGTCACAGAACCAGTATGTGTCACAGGCCCAACTTGAATCAGTGGCTTCCTGACTCTGCTATTGGCTCTCTACTCACTCTACAAGGCTGCCTCTCTTTGTATATTGGGATGATAAGGAAAGGTCTCCTAAGACTCTTGGTTCCATAGAAGTTAGTTTCTAAGAGGCAGAGGTAAGGAAGGAGTGCATTCCCGGTAGGGGAAAAACCAGTACAAAACCCAGAGTGAGACAGGATGGAACTGCATAGAGAGGTCCCAGAAACTAAACAAATCTGTCAGAACAGAGCAAGCCTTTGGGGAGCATCCAGGCATCAGGGCAGACAGGTGAGTGTCAGAGAAATAAGGGCCAGGCAGAGGTGCAGACAAATGGGAAGAGAACACCCAGGGAATCTGGCAAGGGACAATGGGCAGAGATCCAGGCACCAGCTAGTGGCAAAGAGGCCTGGCAAGCAGGTAATGGGGAGCCAGCTTTGAGAATCGCCTCAGAGGCAAGAGGATGATGGCGGAGTAGGGGAATGAAGCAGGATTCCAGTGCACAAAGAACTGGGCTGACTGACAGGCAAGCAAGGAAGGGGTTCCAGCCCAGAGAAAGTAAAACAATGACCAGAATCAGGGTTGGAAATGAGGCGTAAACATGGTAAGACCCTACTTCTGGAAACTAGAATGCAGGATAACCAGCTGATGCTGACCCTTCAACATATACACTCAAGAGTCCTATTAATTCCCCTTAGAGAGGGAACACAGAATAATGGATAGAGAATGGGCTTCAGGAAGGAAAACTCAAGTTCAAATCCTACCTCTGACACACAGTGACTGTGAACTTGGGCAAGTCACTCTAATTCTCAGAAGCCTAGGCAGCTCTCCTAAAGCTGTAAATTGCAGAGAAGGGAGTGTCCTGCATTGGTGCAGGAACTTCCCTATTGAAATGAAACCACAATGGCAAAGAATTGGAAATTGAGGGGATGCCTATCAGTTGGGGAATGACTGAACAAGCTGTGGTATATGAATGTAATGGGATGTTATTGTGCTGTAAGTAATGATGAGCAGGTGGACTTCAGAAAAACTTGGAAAGACTTATATGAACTGGTGCTGAGTGAAAGGAGCAGAATTAGGAGAACACTGTACACAGTAACAGTAACAATGTGCAATGACTAACTTTGATAGACTAATCTCTTCTCAGCAATGCAAGGATCCAAGACAACTCCAAAGGACTCATGATGAAAAATGTTATCCACAGCCAGAAAATGAACTGAGTCTGAATGCAGATCAAAGCATATTATTTGCTCTCTCTCTCTTTTTTTTTCTTTTTTTTTGTTTGTTTCTTCTTTCTCATGGTTTCTCTCATTGGTTCTAATTCTTCTTTATAACTCGATTTATGTGAAAATAGGTTCAATATGAATGTATAAGTAGAAACTTTATCAAATCACATGCCATCTTGGGGTAGGGGAAGGGAGACATGGTGAGAAAATTTGGAAATCAAAATCTTATGGAAGCAAATGTTGAAAACTAAAAAGAAATTAATTAATTAAAAAATGAAATGAAGAGCAGCAAGGCCTGAGTTTGAATCTTTTCTCAGACACTCACTCCCTCTGTGACACTGGACCAGTCACTCCCCCTATTTTTGTTACCTCACCTGTAAAATGGGCATTTTAACTCCATGATTGCTAAAGCTCCTTCTACCTTGAAAAAAAAAATTATAAAGACTCTGGCACTCCCAGGGCCACTATATCATCCAATCTACAGGGAATTCCAAATAGTTGTTGCTGAGGTGGTACAGTGCATAGAGCACTGGGCTGGGAATCAGAAAGACTCATCTTCCTGAGTTCAAATACAGCTTCAGACACTAGCTGTGTGAACCTGGGCAAGTCACTTAATCCTACTTGCCTCAGGTCCACATCTGTCAAATAAGCTGAAGAAGGAAATGGCAAACTGCTCTAGTATCTTCACCAAGAAAGACCCAAATGGAGTCACAAAGAGTAGGACACCACTGAACAAAAACAACAATTAACAGATATTGTCTCATTTGATTCTCATTACGAGACTCTTGTGATGGAGGTGTTATGATTATGATCCCCATTTTACAGATGAGGAAACTGAAGATCACAGATGTGAAATGATTTGTCCTAGACCACATGTCTAGAACATGATAGAGCAAGGATCTGAACCATCCTTGTCATGGTTCTTATGGCCCTCAGCAAGATATAGTGGGTAGAGAACTGGTCTCAGAATCAGGGAGAGCTGTGTTCAAATCCTGTCTTCAACACAGGCTGTGTGAGCCTGGGCAAATTGCTTAACCCCTTTAGAACTCAATTCTTCATATGTGAAATGGGAGATTAGACTAGATGGTCTCTTTGGGCCCTTCCAGCTCTACATCTGGGATCATGTCTAGCGTTCTTTCTGCTAACCCCATCAAAGACTGAGGCATAGGTTCATTTAGAATCATCTAATTTTCTAAATCAATTTAGCCTTCCCTGAGGAATCCCACAGGTCATCTACTCCAACCCTTTCTTTCACAGGGAAGGAAAGTAAGGTTGAGACAAATTCATTAGATCCTCCTTAGTACTTCTACGACCTTGGACAAATCACCTCAACTTTCTAGGCCTTGGTCTCTTCACCTGTAAAATGAATGGGGAAGGACTAAGTGATCTTCTTAGTCCCCTTCTTTGACAAAATCCTCTAAGACAAGAGGGAGGGAAACCCAGCAGTCAGTGTCAGTCCCTACTCAAGAAAGATTGAACTCTTCTACATAGCCTGAGCAGAAAACATTTTCTTAGCTCTGGGTTTCTTTTTGATAGCATATAAAGAATGGTATCCCACTGGTGCAGTGGAGAAGTGTTTATCAAGTAGATGTCCAACTCTGCCCTCTGACAGGGTGACCCTTTACTCATGTTCTCAGCATTTTTCTTTGATTTTTATGTTTGTTTCTTCTTTCTCGTGGTTTCTCTCGTTGATTCTAATTCTTCTTTATAACTTGACTAATGTGAAAATACGTTCAATATGAATATATATGTAGAGCCTATATCAAATTGCATGCCATCTTGGGGTGGGAAAGGGGAGAGAAGGGGAGAAAATTTGGAACTCAAAATCCTATGGAAGCAAATGTTGAAAACTAAAAAGAAATTAGTCAATTTTTTAAAAATGAAATGAAGAGCAGCAAGGCCTAGGTTTGAATCATTTCTTAGACACTTACTCCCTCTGTGACACTGGACCATTTTGAGAAACCTCTTTCTACAGTTAAGGCAAGTCAGCAAACATCAATTAAGTACCAATAATGTGACAACTATTATGTGACATAGAGTACCTAGTATGTATTGAGCATGGACACAGCACACAAGTCGAAGTCTAGGGCAGAGTGAAAATGTACCTAAAAATCATAGATTGTCAAATCTGAAAAGGTCACTAGAGATCACCTCATTCAAATCACCTCTTTTGTATATGGGAAATCCCATGTTGAATGGGTCTGACAGCTATTAAATAGCAGAACCAACACTTAAACCCTGTTTTTTTAAGAAAACAAACAAAAAAAAACAACACTCTTTCTCTAACAGTAGAACCATAGAATCTTAGAACCAGAAGAATCCTCAAGACAAGGTACCATCCCTTCATTCTACAGAG